AACTCCTACAGAAGTGAACAAGGATGTTTATGACAGCCTCGTTTGTAATGTTGAAATGTAGAAAATACTAAAATGTTTATTTATAGTGGGAAAGATTAAATAAATTTAGGCATGTATTTATGGGATATTCCAAATATACAGAGGTGGATCGCTCATAAGAGTTCTCGTGAGTATTAACAGAGACAGCACAAGTAAGTGCTTAGCACAGACCAGGTGTTCAATAAATGTTAGCAACTGTTACTTTCTAGGTGTTCCCTGTCTTCCTTATCTGTCTGACTTACAGAAGTGGAATTGGGTTTATGTCAAATGGCATCAACTGAATCAATCAATCTCACTCCCTCTGTCTCTCTTTCTCTCTCTCAAAAAAAGAAAACTATGGAACACAAGATGTAAGAAGCACACATTTTTATGCTCTATTGTATATGTTCTCTTCATTCACTAATCAGTTAGCAAAATCCTTCGATTTTTGGGAGAAAACACAATAGAGATAATAACATATTTCCCCAAAAAAATGTACCAGTTATGGCAAGTGTCTGGGATGCATCTAGCATCTTTCTTTTAACAAAAAATGTTTCCCCTTTAACATTTGCCTAAACAATAAAATTTCCACAAACTTGACCGAATTAATCAACAGTGCCTTGTAAATGATAAGTGATTAAGGCATTTTTTTTTTCCTTTCTACAGAACCCATCGTTGGAACTCACATAAACTTACTTGGATCAAAGCAAAGGCTGTAAAGGATTAGAAAGGAAGAAACATTGGACTTGGTTCACACATGAATGCAAAGGCAAGATCTCCTGATTATAACTCCTCACAGGGGAGATCATTAATTCCCTGAAACCCAAGTGTTTCCTCCCTTTGTTAGAACTTGGATTCTAACAGATCGAAGTAGATGATCCAGTGACATGTTGATAACATACCTGCACATCCACTCTAACTATGCTTGGGTGGCCACAAAATCCAAAATGTGTCTTAATGGAAAATTTTCCTGATCGAGTTAATATATGTCTGACTTTAAGTAAAGTATTTGTGTGGAGATTTCAGGTCCCACTAAACACCATTGCACAGACCCGTTTTATCATCCCATAAGAAACGTAAACTCAGTATGTTCATGGTTTCTACAACACCTTCTAAAATCTTAGTTAGTAGTATCTACAATTATGCATTCCAAACTAACATCACATTGCTCTTCATCCACTTTTCCTGTCAAATGGATTCGATGGAATCTTCATCTTCCAGAAGAACTGGGGGAGATTTTACCTGGTAGCAGCCATGGCCAAAAAAAGGGAGGGGAGAGTTTATGTTGCTTAAACTCAAAAACCAACTTACTTGCAATGATGTCCACCCTTAGAGGGAACTACCTGGGGCAACTAAGTTTGTCATGGTCCTCCCCAGCCCTCAGAGAATTTCAAGTATGCTAAGTTTCTGACACTCTTCCAGTGTCAGAAAAGATAATTCACAAGAGTTAATCAGCCGAATCAAAATGCCTGGTCCAGCGCCATCTGTGGCACAGAGAAGTAGGCAGCATGGTTTCTGCTGTCAGGTATCTTATAAGAAAAGAGAAGGGCCAGGACACAGACATGCTCAAATGGCCCGGCTCAGATCATAAGCAGCAGGAATTCACACAAGGGAGGAGCAGTGCCAAGGGAACCACGAAAAGAATCTGAGAAAGTGGGTCATAAGCCAGAATTTGAAAGATGGAAAGGATATAAACACTCCCGGATGGGAGACACTCGTGACCTTTTAAATGGTCCCCTTCTCCCAGCCTTGCTCCCTGCCATCTGTACTGCACGTCACAGCCAGTGTGGTGCCAGCAGACACTGGGTAGGACTGCACAGTATCCATTACTTCCATCCCTTATGGGGGAAATTTATCTCTGCTCAAGGGCAGCACTGACTGAGACCAAATTCTTGAAAACAACCCCCAAGAAGATTCTCTTTAGCCTTAAAAGAAAATCAAGAAGCCAAGATTTCTCTCTTGTTGGACAAAATAAGAAGGTATATAGCATGTTGACAGAACTGGAGGAAACTAGCCTTCAGGGGATGTCAAAACCGTGGGTGACAGAAGAAACATGGGATCCTGACAACATCTCAGAGCCACAGAATCAGACAGCTCTGAGCCACACATGCTGATGGACTCTGGATGTCTGAGCAATTCCATTCCACTCTGCTCTGTGTCATTCCGTTCCACTTTTTTTTCTTTAAAAAATATTCTCGTTGAAACCTACTAAATTTATCTCATAAATACACAAATGGGTCATGACCTGCCGTCTGAAAAACACTGGGCTGTAGCTTCGAAATGTCCAAAGAAATAAAGGTCTGAATATATAACTGGGGATAAGGCTTGAATCAGCCATCTTCAAAAACACACTTTCTCTCCATTCTCCCATTCCACATTAAATATTTATGTGGCTATTACAAGATATTACATTAAGCCATCTTATATAATATTAGAATTCCTTTCCTACGTTTCGAAGTGAAAACTGATGCTCAGTGACACTGTGTGCTATTTACCCTGCTGATTCTCTTACCCTGGGCTCTGCCTGGGTCCCAGGACACTCTCCCACGGTGGGAAGCACAGGCCAGTGGGACAAAATCCAAGCTCCTTAGCACATTCGAAACAGCCTTTAGGACCAAGGCCATCCTGGTGATGCTCAGGGGACACTGGGAAACCAGAAAGTGGAATCCAGACTCAAAGTTGTAGAGACTAAAAGGCCACTGAAGGTTGTTATGCGTGGAAGTTACAGGTTGAAATCATCACATGGGTAAGAAATGCATGGGAGTAAGACTATGCAATCTGGGCTTTTGGAAATTTAGTTTCTCAAGGAAGGAGGAGTGGATGATTAGAGAAGACAAAAGTGAAAGTTTGGGGATTGGGAAAAAACATTTAAAAAAACAAAACAGGTAGATGGTTACAGTAGGGCCTGAGAGGGGAGGCCTGGGCTAGGGCAGAGGAAACATAGTGGGGCAGCCTGTGACCTGGCATCCTGGGGCACTACTGTGTGAGAGCAATTGATTCAACTAAAATAATAGGCAGGGACATACTCAGTGTTGCTGCTGGAGATGGGGAAGGCCCTCAAAGCCAAGTCAAATTAGGGATGAGAGGAGACTCTCAGTATGTTTGCCTTGAAAAAGAGAAATCTTTTTTTTTTTTTTTTTTTTATTTTTTTTGTTTTTTTTTTTTTTTTTTAATTTGAGACAGAGTCTCACTCTGTTGCCTGGGCTAGAGTGCCATGGTGTTAGCCTAGGTCACAGCAACCTCAAACTGCTGGGCTCAAGCAATCCTTCTGCCTCAGCCTCCCAAGTAACTGGGACTACAGGCATGCGCCACCTTGCCTGGCTAATTTTTTCTATATATTTTTAGTTGGCCAATTAATTTCTTGCTATTTTTTTTAGTAGAGATGGCGTCTCTCTCTTGCTCAGGCTGGTTTTGAACTCCTGATCTTGAGCGATCTGCCCACCTTCGCCTCCCAGAGTGCTAGGATTACAGGCGTGAGCCACCACGCTTGGCCAAGAAGAAAAATCTTAATGGGAAGAAAAAATGTCTCCAACTTTTAGGTGGCTCTTAAAGATGGATCTAATTAGCAGATATTATAGAGGGATTAATATCCAATGTTAGGAAGATATTCTTATTATTGTTGTTATTTTACAATCAAATGGATAACTATTGAAGGGACAGAGTCCTCTATCACTCAAGGTGGTCAAGGTTGACACTTACCTGGGTTTATGTCACAGAAAAATGTTGAGCCAGAGTCCAGTGACAAGCTACCAGGCAGCAGGAGAGGGCTGCCTTTGTATCCCTCAGCCCAGCGCCGGCCCCAGATGTAGCAGACATTCAAACACTGGGTTAAATGAGGTATGCTCAAGGTTTCTTTCTAACTAAGTACTTGATTCTGTGAGTCTTAGGAGGGGACCAGGATGTGAAAGTACAAAGACACACTGGGAAGAAAAAACCATGGCCTGCTTTTAGATAACATATCATTGATATGTGTGTTTGAAAAGTATTTTCAATGTTGCAAGACAAAATTTCTATGGAGCACGTGCAATGGCCAGGTCAACAGTTTCTATCTTAGTTAGGACATTACTAGCTGCTGTAACGAACAAGCACTAAAATGTCAATGGCTTGGCATGACAATGCTTGATTCTTGCAGATGTAACAGGCAACACATGCGGGTCTGGTGAACAGCAGCTCTCCTCCACCGGGCTCCTGCCATCCTAGAGTCCTGCCCTCCCTTCCATCCTCAGAGTCATTGGCATCCAGCCAGCAGGCATGGAACAGGGTTTGAAGGTACATAAATGTGAAGATTTTATGGGCCAAGTTTAGATATGGTGCACATTTGTTCTGGTCTGGTTCCATAGAGAGTTCTCAGTCACATGACCACACCTAACTACAGGGAGGCTGGGAGCTACGCTCTAACTGGCATAAAGATGGGCTAGGCAAGTTCGGTGGACAGCTAGCAGTCTCTTCCACAGCACCCATGTGCACCCCCCCTTCCCACACATGGATCACACTCTATCTCTTCCAAAGAGACACATCCCAAAGCGCCATCTATTTTAGCAACCCTTGCAAAAATTAGATTTAAGAAAACTCATAGCTAGATCAAGTGACTAATGATATGTTAATAAACTCTGTAGTGAGTCCAATGCAACATTGAGAACACTGCCAAAGTCACATTCCAGGAGTGTATTATTTTCCAAGCAAGGGAGCTTATGACCTTGGCAGCTGGCTTTCAGAAGCCAGTGACTGCACTTAGCAATATTTTCAGCTCTTCCTTTGAACATTGAAAGGGATGGTATTCAACCAGCAACTGAGATGATACATTCTAGTTTTTCAACAACTCATTGTTTAAAAGGTTCTTTAATACCTAGCCAACGTTTCCCTCTTGTTGGCATTGAGCCAAAGCATTTTGCTCATGTCTGTCAGTGGGCACTGCCTGCCATACCAATAAAAAGAACAACAAGATCAAGCATGAAAAGGGAGCAATACCTGTCTTTGCATACCTTTCTCCTGCCTTTTCTGCTGCGCAGTGATGGATACATTCTTGCTCTGAGACAGCCACCTGACGTTTGAGTTACATGTAGCACTACAATGTCCTTCTGTGTTCTCAGGAAGTCTGCTGCACACCCCACTGCCTACCTGACAAAGCAAGAGAAGAACACCACATCAACTAACTCGAGCCTAATAAGGCATCATTTACTCTACTTTATGATCAATGAAAGTTTTATTACTAATTTATCAACCACTTCTCTTCTATTAAAACTTATTTATGTTCCTTTGCTCTTTGAAGTCTTTCTTTCATCTGATATTGAAGACCAATGCTTTTTTTTCCTTAACAGTATTGTGCTTTTCTCACTGATCTCCTGAATTGGTCAATTTAAAAAATTAGTTTTCTCATTCTAAAATATCTCATTTTGTATTATTTTTATTGATCTCGTTGTAATTTATTTGTCTCCTCCAGCCAGCTGTCTTTGTACTTCAACTTATTCCTCCTCTGAGGAGTTACCGTGTAAATTTTCTTTGCCTGAATCTGTTTCTCTTCATCCTCAACGCTCAGGACAGATGGACAGGGAACCTTGAGCTGTAGCAACCTCACAAGTAGTTTGGAGGTACAGCTTCCTGCTGCCAGGGTGTTAGCCTTGAGTGTGGCACCAGAAGGCCTCTCTTCCCCCAGGGGTGCTCAGCAGAAAGGTCTGCCTTGGCCCAGCCTCAGAGGGAGGTAGAAACTTAGTGCACTAGGCAGCTTCTCCCATAGTTCTGCTACCTGGGAGGCCCAGAGGTGCTCTTAGGATTATGCACAAGGGAGACACAACACACTGTCTGGGGGCCATAGGTCTCCAGGGACTGTGGAAGTCTACTGCCCTCACCCAAACACCCAGGCGCCTACCCAGTGGGGCAAAGTCCTGCACCTGACCCTTGGCAGAGCCTAAGGGTCACACCCAACTGGTCCTGCCTACTTGCAAGCCCAAGACAGATGGCAGGTGATCAGAAGGACATTAGACAAGGAGGTTATCAGAAGTATCCACTCATGGCCAGCTTCCCATAATCACCTCTGCTAGATGCAATTTAAGAATCTTAAAACTCTGATAAAATTTCATTTTTCATCTATCTCTTTTAAAGAATGAAATTTGGCTATAACTCCAATCATTTACCCAAGACTCTTGAGAACCAGAAGATAATCTCTCAGTTGGCTTGAGCATTTGCGGAGAAGCATCTTTTATTCTGGTAACTTGATTTTGTTTCAGAAACAGACAGGGCCCTCAGCTAGTCACTGATGTTTTTGCATCTCCATATCACTGTACTCATAGAGCCGGTTCCAGAACATTAATTGTTTGACCACGGCCAGTTAGAAAGAAAGAGTTACAAGAATGCCAATCTTGATTGCATGCAGAAATCTTATAGGGATCAATAATAATGCTCTTTCACATGTACTGTGACACAATTACTATATGCCAGACCTTCTGAGGAAGTATTTTCTATAAATAATTCCACCGAATTATCCATTCCAGCTGATGCAATAGCAAGTCTAAAGAATAGTAAGAAAAAAGCTAGTGTGGTGTTCTCAATGTTCTCAGGCTGGTGGTGGGAGTCGGTGCAACTCCTCAGCCCTCCCTCTTAGCAGCCCCGTCACCTTGCCTCCTCCTCCTGCCGGAGCAGAGGTTCCATAACTCTGGGATTTTAGTGAACCAGTAGAATGTCAAAATAGGCATATTTTGGTAAATGAACATTTTTGTTGCCAAGTATCTTCCGCTCAAAAACATCTATAATCTATTCTTACTGCCACTGCATAAAATAAAATATTAATTCCAAAAAAGTAGGAAGGACAAAAATCTCATAACTTTTAAGTGAAAAAAACTATGAATGTTATGAAAATCTCATTAAAATGTGAAAGTTCCATTCCTGGGCTTCCTTGATCCCCAGGCTGAAGCAGGTCTGAAGACTTTACCTGAAGACCCAAATCAGGGCCAGGGGGAGTGTTTCTGAGGCCATCAGTGGCCATCAAGCCCTGAGCACATTTACTGAAAGCTGTAATAAAAGGGTATCACTCAGTTAAAGTTGGCTAAGGGACACAATGATCAGGCAGGGGTGCCTGTCCTTCCTCTTGAAAGGTGGGGCCTCCCAGTGGAGAGAAATCGTGCGTTGGACAGAGCACGGATTCTAGGTCCAGTACTGTCATCGCCCAAGCACAGGGGACGTTTAGGCTCACACCCATCACTAACAAGAACTCCAAGTTTCTTCCCGGCAGTGAAATGCTACAGATTATTTTGGAATCCACATGGAAACCTAACAGTTCCAGGAACAGCAACTCTTACAGGGCACATGGCAACTTCTCAGCCTGCTCCCAGACAATGGCCAAGTGTACATGGCAGAGCTTGCAGGCTTCAGAAACGGCTAACCCACGCCAAGTCCTGATTGTCATTAGTCGTTGTGTTGGCAACAATATGGCTATGAAAACTACACTGACAGCTTGCCTCCCGAGGGCATTCTCCTACACTTTTTGTTTTCAATAAAATAAACACAGAAGAGTCATCATTATCACTGCTGCTTTCAGTGTGAATTTTCTCTTAACAACTTTCTGGCCGACTCAGTGTCTCTCTGCCTCCTTTAGTATAACTAGACAGAAATAGCAGGAAGGTGCGACTGCCATTGCAAAGCTCTCTATTCGTATACTGGCAAATGCAAAACATGCTGCCAGAAAGTGCTAGAAAGTGCACTCCAAAGCCACAGCAACGATTCTCCAATCCTCTTTACCCACGTCAGTGCGGGACATGATAAAATGCCAGTGGCCACACTAACCGCCTTGCTGCACTGAAAACGAAACTAAGAAGTAAATATCTGGGTTGGGATTTCCATGTCTCCACCTGAGGGCAAAGGAAACTACAGACCTATAAGAGTGCGAAAAGCAGGGAGAGACTCTTCAGGGTCAGAGGAAAACAGGTTTTCCACATCTCTCCTCCTCCCACCCTTCCTATCTCGAGTTCCTTCTGCTTGATGTCTACCTGGCTTTGACCCACTTGGATGTCAACACCAAGAGTTTAAAATACAGCAGTATAAAAGAGTGCACAAAAGCCCTCATTGGAAGCTGCCTGATCCAGTTGAATGTAAACAATTTGTCTGATAGACAATGCTAGGAAATTGGTGACCTTTGTTCCCCTTGTTCCTGTCCCCTCCTTGCTCACCCAGCCCCTCTAGCACTAAGAGGGGCCTGTGAAAGCAAACTGGCTTCTAGCAGGACCCTGGCTCCATCACTCAACAGCTCTGTGATTGTGGCAGGTCAGTTAAGCTCTCATCGCCTTTATTCCCCTTCTATAAAATGGGAATAATAAACAGAAGTCACAAGTCATAGAGTTGTTGTAGGGGATAAAATGGGATAATGGGTGCAAGAGAAATTAGCATGAGAGCATCTAGGAAGCTCCAATGTTAACTATCAGTAATGCTGTTCTTTTTATTAACCACCCTATGCCTCCACGCAAATTGGAAAGGATCAATTAACCAGTACTGAGACCAGGGTAGAAGTTCATTAAAACTAATGTAAAAACCAGCGATGTTTTCATGTTCAACCTTAATTGTGAAATAAAAATCTGTTTCCCAGGTTTCATTTATTCAACAGATATTAATTGGAAACATATAAGATGCTGGGTACTATTAATACAAAGTATGCCCAGTACACAGAAGGTGCTCAGGAAATGTTTGACGAGTGAATGAAGTAATGAGTGACCTTCCCACAGATGCCCCTCCCAGATAAAACTGCAGAGGTCACTGGGGACAGAAAGTCCTGTCCATCCCTTCACCCCCAGCCCCTTCCAACCTAGGCAGTCCCCATTCCAGCTCAGGGCTGCCTGCCTGCAGAGCCACTGGCTTTAGACCTTCTCCTGTTTCCTTGCTTGGCTTCCAACCAAGAAGTTCTGACAAAGAAGCAGTCATTAGAACACATCCTCTTTGTATTGCTATAGTCTGGGATTATAAAAGATGTTCAAAAGGAAGGTATCTCACATGCATATAGAAAGTACCTTCACCCTTTACTCCAATCAAGGACTCACTCTTATTTTGTCCTGTATAACAGGGCCATCTCCCAGACTTCCAGTACCGACTGAGGAAGGAATGGTGTGTGCAGAGCTGGCGGAGGGCACCATCAGGTGCCGCATCTGTACTTTGCTAGGCTCTGGGAATAGTCTAGTTGTGCCCACATCTTTATCTTTACAGAGTGCATATCAATTGTTTTTAAACTCCAGTATCCATTCTCCCTTGTTTTGGTGACTTGGGACATGCCTCCTCCTTAGGAGTAGGACCCGCGGTCGGGGGGCACCCCATTCTCTGAAATGGAGCAAATCTCACAAGCCTGCCCATCAGGGCACTCAATGTACACAGCCACAAGGGCGGGTGAGGGAGGGCACCTGACCCAAGTTGGTCTGCTCAGAATGGGTCCCAGGACTAGAGCAGGAGATTCTAGGAAGAAACAGCATCTTCTTTTACTTTCAATATAGACTGGGGAAGAGTGACCTCAGAGCCACAAGATGATGCCTGGGAAAAAAGCAAAAAAGGAAAAGAGAGCTCTGAGCCACAGGAAAGGACAGCTTTGACACGTTCACTGAAGCCCCTGAATCAACCCATGCTGGAACCCAGATTTCCTCTGGAGTTTTCGACTCTGTGAGTATGTAAATTCCTTTATTCTTTGTTTAAGCCATCAAAGTTGGCCTTTTAATTACAACCAAAAAAGCCCTATGTTATCCACAGAACTTGTCACTGTGCCCAAAGTTTCACATTACTATTCCTTTGCATTAATGCAGGAAATAAAGCTGTAGGATTGCAAATGTGTTATCAGCCATCAGCCCAAGAAGGCTTGGTAGTTTGATAACTAGCATTGTCATTTACCTTGTAGGACCCACAATCAGACTGTAAGGACCCCAAAAATCGAACTCAAAACCACACTGCACAGTGCAGCAAAGTCTACCGTGAAGTTGCAAAGCCCATACCTGCCTCTTAAGTGATCGTCCTTAGAGTTCTGTGGACAGCAATAACTCAGACACTGGAAACTTCTTGAAAGTGTGGGCCTCGCTCTAAGCTATGAACAGGTAGGATTATAGAGGCAGAGGAAAACATTTCTTTTGTTCAGTGAGCCTTTTGTTTCCAGTGACTTCCAGAGACAGGTTGAGCCCTAGAAGAAGAACCTAGAATTTTCTTTCCTGGATTCAGTTGCTTTGCTAGATTGGCTATGAGCCACTTTTTCAATGTCTTTATCCAAAGTTGGAAAATCAGGTGGAGCTTTATGAATCCATGAGCTTGAAATTCTTTGATTCCACCAATCTGTGATATTTATGGAGCACCTACCATGTACCAGATGCTGCACGAGTGACGGGGCCCCAGGTGGCAAAGATGAAAGAGCACATTTCCTTCACCGAGCAGCTTGGAGTCCAGTGGGTGTCGCACACAACTCCTTCCACAGCCACAGGAATATGGTCAATGCCGTGACAGAGATGAGCATGCAGTGACACCAGGAAATGACAAGGGCAATGACAAGGGCAAAGTGATGGAGGAGGGGACTCAAGACAAGGTGACGTTTGAGCAGGAAAATGTGGGGGAGAGGAGGATTGCAGGAAGAGGGATTAGCATCAGTGACCTTTAGGGCATTTAGTGAACTGAGTTCATTTGGTAAACTGAGCTCAGGTGTGAGGGGGGGCAACTGTGAGCAGAAGCAAACCCATCATCATAAACGGCTTCTGCTGCCAAGCCAAGGACAGCTTTTGACTCCGGTTGCGTATCTTCCGTTGCTCCCCATTTGCTACAGAATAAAATCTAGAATGCTGACTTCCTTGAATCAAAACCAGCAAGACTTTATTTTGCATTTTTACATCCTAGTAGCAAAGAGAACCAGATACATGATGAGTGCAGAATCTGAATATGGCATTTTTGTTCAAATCAGCTGTATCCCGTCCTTATCTCCACTGTCCCGGTAACCCTGGGTCCAGGAGACGGGAGGAGCCACAAATACCCCAAGAGTCCCGTGCTCCACCCCGCCCCCATGCGCACATGAGAATCATTTTTCATTTGCTATGAAGTCATTCCGAAAGTGCCTGCTTTTCATTAAGATGGTAACACGATAGCCCCTCGGGGGCCGCGCGTGCAGCAGAAGTGAAACAGCCTTTTCCTTCCGACTGTGGCATTTTCTTTCCCAGCTCTCCTCGGCCTGAGTGTGGCGGAGTCCTTTGTCTTTTGTTCAAAAAAACTACGCCTAAACCTCAGACTCCGTGGTGTTTTTGCTGTTGCTTTGTGTGTGTGGTTTTGTTTGTTTTGACATGCATCTTTGCATAAAATGGGCCAGGTTCAAAAGGCACGGGCTCTTTTTCCCACACGCGTGGCTGTCGTGGGTCAGATGCGTCCCAGGTGTGGCTCCGGCCACATTCCGCTTGCACGTGATTCTCATTACGCGATCCCCAAGGGTTGTGAAAACATTTGCTCGAGCCTCCCGCAGACAGCCACAGCCATGAACTGGCAAACGCCGATTGCAAAAGCACTGTTTACTTAAAATGTCTCGCAAGCAGTCACCATCCTGATGCCCACTCAGCTCCGCGCAGCCCCGCTGTCCCCACGCAGGTGACCCCTGTTGCCTCCTCCCTCGCCGTGTTCCCGGGCCCGCCTGGGACATCCCCAAGACGGGGACGACAGCCCCGTAGACACCGGCTGGCGCAGGCGCCGTGGGGCCTCTGACGCCCACACCTTGTTCCAGCAGCCGGCCGGTGGCAGCGCGCACAGCCCGGACGCGCCCTTGCAGCCTTTTGGGAAACACCCCCGCCCCTTCCTGCGCCCTTTTAAGGTCGAAAGAGGCTAACACAGAGAGGCAAAGCGAGTCTCCATAAAACCCAGAGAGGAGGCTGCACGTCTCCTGTCTGCATCCTGTCTGGAGTCACAGCTGGGGAAAAAACAAAACAAAAAACGAAAAGCGTAGATTCGATCACCCCTTAGCTAAAAGCGGCGTAGAGGGAAACTGACGGGACCCCTGAGGGACGAGAAGGAACTTCTCCTACGAGAGCACTGGCCGGCCAGGACGGCGGCGCATTTGTGGAGGACACTTAGAGGCGACTTTGCGAAAGTCACTTTTTCCCCTCGGTGCCTCAGTTTCCCCACTTGTAAAATCAGGGGTTGGCCCAGGTGATCCCTCAGCTACCTTTGCTGTCGAAATATTACGATTCTATTTTATTGAATATGGGTCTTTTTTTAAAAAAAAAATGGAGTAAGACTGTGAATTTAATTCGACTAATGACATTTTCGCGAAGCAGGTGAGGAAAAGAAATCTCTCACTTGTCATCGAAAGGAATCGCCTTGAGGGCGGGGAGGGAGGGAGACAGCTTTAATCACGTAGAGTACGTGGAATAGGAATCAAGGTGATGTGCTTCCTTTTCGCTCTTTTAAAGGACTGAGCGTGGAAAGTATTCTTGCGAGTCGCCTCCTTCTGTCCCGGGATGTTGGAGACCCGCCCCAGCAGCGAGCAGCCCGCATGGACGCGGAACCCGGCAGAGCAACGGCAGCGCTGGCCGCGAGCAGAGGCCTGCAGGCCCACGCCACGCCCACGCCGGCCACGCCACGCCCACCCCCACGCCACGCCCACGCCACGCCCACGCCACGCCCACGCCACGCCCACGCCACGCCCACGCCAGTCCCGAGGAAGTCCGCGGTGACCCCGCAGCCCTCAGCCTCCTTCCCGGCTCAAGCTCCTCCGCGGAACAGAGAAAAAAGAACGGAAGGGCAGCTCGATTTAGATCCCCATTACATGAGCTTATGCTCGAGTCTATTTTTTTTTTTTTATTCTTTTCACAAATGAAAACGGGCATATATTTGTGATATACAACATGATGTTTTAATATATATGCACACTGAGATAGCAAATCGAGCTGATTAACTTATCTGTCACCTCACATACTTATTGTTTTGTGGTGAGAACACTTAAAATTTACTCTCAGCAATTTTGAAGTATACATCATTATTAGCTATAGTCACCGTGTTGTGCTATAGGTCTCTAGAACTTAGTCCTCTTAACTGAAACTTTGTACCCTTTCACTAACATCTTCCCGTGGCCCACACGTCCCCAGCCCCTGCTAACCACTATTCTACCCTCTGCTTGTATGAGTTCTACTTTCTTAGAGTCCATATAAGTGATATTTTGTGGTATTTGTCTTTCTGTGCCTGCCTAATTTCACTAAGCATAATGTCTTCCAGGTTCATCCATGTTGTTGCAAATGACAATATTTCCTCATTTTTTGAGGATGAATAGTATTCCATTGTGTGTATATACCACTTTTCTTTGTTCATCCATTAAGTACACTTGGGTTGATTCCATATCTTGCCTATCGTGAATCATACTCCAATGAAGAGTAGGTATGTCGTCAATATCATGATTTTATTTCCTTTGGAATTTCCCTTGGGCCTTTGAGGAGAGCTGATTTTGCAGACAAGGCCAGAGAAGATGACACAGAGATGAAAGAAATCAGATTGGTTGGCAGCAACGAGCTTCTGGAACAGCAGAAGCTCAGTGGATGTCCCTTGGGAGCTGAAGGTATGGGGGAGAGGGTCTAGGATTCCTGGAATGGAGGCCTGGTGTAGGGTCCTGGTCCTAGGAAGAAACTGGATTGCCAAGCACGAGATCCAGCCTGCTTTCCACGGACAAATGGGATTGAGCCTTCTGAATGGAATCCTTGGGACAGGATGGGCTCCAGAACTAGGTGGTGGCATCAGCCCTGAAAGCCGAGAGGGACTGAACCTCTTCCCAGCCTGCTCCTACTCCATTCTTTTCTGGATACTTGAGCTCAGCCCTTCAAAAGCAAACCCCACCATAATTTGTCTGATGACCCCTGCCCTACACCCCTGTGAGGCTGCAGATGCTTAGACATAATCCGTTCCCACTGATTCACACTGGCAGAAGGACTAATGGGAAGGATACTAATATGCTCAGTCTGAGTCCCATATGCATTCCCCTCCCTCTCCCGTGCTGGCCATGACTAGATTTCTGACTTAATTTTTCCAAAATATTGGAGGTCTTTGTGGGGATGAAACAATGATAAGGAAGGGAACAGAAAAGTGCAGGTATTGAAGGTGATTCTGGCTTCTCAGTGGCCAGTAGGAAGGAACCTCTCCCACCTTTTTCTGATCCTTCTAGGCTGCCTGGACAAAAGTGTTATTTAAGAAGTTGACCCCAAAGCAAAGCCAACCTTTGCCAGACTTTCCACCCAGCTTCCAACCACAGGCACTAGAGTATTATCGTGGATAATGACAGGGCTTCCTAGGTGCCCCAGCGTGGTGTCCTGTTAGTGGGATTCCTCCCTTTGTGGTTCTTTAGGGGGATCAGGGCCCCCTCCTCCTACCAAGGTGAAAAAGTCTTGCTGTTCATTTTCCCAGCCCTCCCAGCATCTGGGTCATGGCTGCATGACTTAAATGTGGTCAATAAATGGAAACTGCCCAGCACTCGGAATCTCAAGGAAGTGACATGCAGGCTAAGAGTCAACAAAAGTCACTCACGGTGGTTCGGAGAAACAAGCAGTACCGCGGGGAAGGGCTGGTGCCGGCAAGGCCGTTCCTGGGTGGGACCACACTGCGCGTCTCCTCTCTCCGCCGCAGCCTCTTCTTGAGCCCTGCTGTCAATTGTGCCATTCCCCGATAACGCTCACATACATCTTTCTCCTGTTTAAGTTAAATACAGCCCACTTCTATTGTTTTCAATCAAGAGTGCTTGCACACACAAATAAAATACAAATTATGTTGGAATAGGTCCATTTCCTGCCCCTCTTTGTTGAAGTCAAGGGGGCCCATGTGTCTTGCTTAAGTTCAGGAAATGTGAGCAGGAATGACCATGTGTCACATCTGGGCAGAAATTTTAAGAACAGCCTGTAGTACACTCCATCTCTTTTGCTTCTACACACATCATCTGTGTTTCAGGAATCACACAATTTCTTCGTAAAGGGTCAGAAAGTAAAGATTTTTGGCATTGTGGGCCATACTGTCTCTGTCGCAAAAACTTAATCTTGTAATGTGAAAGCAATCAGAAACAGTTTATAAATGAATGTGTATATGTTTCAATAAAACTTTATTTACAAAAACAGGTGGCAGGCCAGAGTGGGCTCACAGCCCATAGTTTCCCAACCCTGAGACAGAGGCTGCTCTGTCTACCTCAGTCCTTGAGTAAGCAGAAAAGGAGCAGAAACTCAGGAACTTACAATAGGCATATAGCATGAGTAAAAATGCAAGTTTGTTTTTGTAAGCCACTAAGTTTTGGGGGTCGTTTGTTACCGCAGTATAACTCGGCCTGTGCTGGCCACACATGAGTATCAAGCAATAACCTCCATGCAAGTAAACGAAAGTTGATTTTATATGATTTGATGAGGTTGGATCTACAGAGTGAGGTAAACACTTCTTTAAGTTTCAAGGTCAAAAAGCAGAAACAAATCCCCTTTAGCTCTGTGGCACAGCTCCAAATCAACTCCTGGTGCCTGTAACCCCATTACCTTTATTGTCACAGAGCAGCAGTGTCACCTGTGTCATGAACACTGGAGCAGAAGCCTAGAGAACTGGATTCTTTGAACCACTCCTCTTGCTCTCTGGCTCTCAAGGTTTCCACGTGCAAAACAGAAAGCTGTGCCGGCCCGGAGGCATCTTCCTCAACCTCTCCCATTTAGGGCTGTTCTGAGAGCAGCTCGCCAGTGACTGACAGCAACAGGAGGCTCAAAAATGACAATGGGTAACAAAAATCTCCTTTTGAAATGAATCCTGTCTGCTGGGACACGCATGTTGAGCAAGGACACATCTCTGAGGGAAGTGGGGTCATTTTCCAGGCCCACAGGAAGCAGCACGATGGAGCCAGCGGAACAAAGCCGAGGGATGAAACGTGAGATGTGGGCCCACGCTTGTCTGCATCCCAACCGAGAACTTAACACTCAGCAGTTTATTCACTCTTGGCCTTGGGAATAAATTCCTTCATGCTCCTCGGTTGTTTCCAAAGTATGTTCTCATCTCAGATCAGGGCTCAAAGCAGAAACAGGGACCCCTTGTTTCCTTCTTTACTTTTATGCCCACAGCGGGTCCAGGACCTCCTCAAGGCCAATGCCATGTGCACCGGACGCGGCCCAGAGTCCGGTGCTGGTGGGATCTGTGCGTGGGAGATTCCAATGTAATCCCCACGCCAGAGGCTTAGTCTCTGCGGTCTGAATCAGCCCCTGGCAGAGAGAGGCTCTCCTCCAACTTGTACATTTCCATCCTCCACACCGCCTCGGTCAACCGGCAGCTCAACCAGCCCTGGGGTTCCACGGAGCCTCTCCACAGCCCGGCCCACGCCGCCAGGGCAGACATTCCACCCAGAAGGGCTTAGGAGAGGAGGCATGGAAACCCTCCTCGGCTCTAACACTCTGTCCTGGTCACTTGCCACAAAGTGTGGGATTGTCACCACTACTGTCATTCTCCTGTCTGTGGCAGAGGTCGCCAAGCTATAGGCCCAAAATACAGGCCAAATCAAGCCCGTCATCCATTTCTGCAAATAAAGTTTTATTGGAACACGGCCTTGCCCACTTACTTACGGACTGTCTGTGGCTGCTTTCACGTTGCAACAGCAGAGCTGGGCAGTTGCAACAGAGACCATGTGGCCTACAAGGCCTAAAATATTTAATAACTGGCCCTTGACAGAAAAAGTTGGCTGACCCCTAGTCTACAGTCTTCTCTACCAAAGCTAATTCATGTGACATCAACCCCAGCAGCAGCTCTGAATATATCGCCAGGCTGTTCTGCAGGATAAAGAATCTGGAGCAAGACCCTAAAGATTATGGAACCAGTTGAAGGGGCGTGTGTGTGTGTGTGTGTGTGTGTGTGTGTGTGTGTACACGCGTGCACGTTGCAGTTTATGTGCATGAATTAGGGATGGAGCCTGGTAAGACAAAGCTGAAACACCTTGCATATTTAACAGGTTAAAGCCCAACATTCTTTTTTTTTTTCTTTTTTTTTTTTGCAAGCCCACCATTCTAAGGGAGGAGTCTGAGAAGGCAGCGAGCAGACAGCAGGAGAACGCTGAGCCCCGGGGCAGGCAGGATTGATGGAGGAAGAAACTCCATCAGTATGATTACTGGTATTATTATTAGAGTAGACAAAGCGTTTTCACACACGTTATTTAATTTCCCATCTGAAACCACATGAGGTATCTGAGGATGTAAACTTTATATCTGAGAGACCCAAGCTCTGAAATGGCTCACCCAGGGTAACCCAGTGAATGGGGCTAGAATCCTTTTCTTCTACTTCTGAGTCCAGTGCTCTTTTACCAGGGACATTTAGACTCACTTCGAGGTTTGCCTCGGGCTACACACACACCAGAAAGGATGCACTCTTCGAGGGAGGAACAAAAAGCCCGTTGGCGCCTGGGCAGGAGCCCAGCCAATGGGGCCAACG